AATGTGAAACCTGAAAAAACAAGATTTGAAACTGAAAAAATAATTGTTTTGAATCTGAAAACGATAAAAATGTAACTGAAAAAAATAAGGATTCAAATATCAAAATATGTATAAAAGTGAAATCTGAAAATAAATATTTTATTCAAAAAAATTGCTGAACTGAATCAAAATAATATTCAACCTGAAAAATGATTTCAAATACTTATTTTTATTTTGAATACATCATTGTATTTTTCAAAGTTCAGGATAAAAACTTGAACTTTCAAATAAATTGTATTTTTTTGAATGATCAAAACTTATGACCCTGAAATAGCTCCATACAAGTTTGCCATAAATGTACGGCTACATTAAAGAATAAAAAAAATACAAATAATCTGAGGGCAGTCCAACTCATATTGGCCAGCCGCTTAACATTCCCCTAATTCCTCACAGCCAAAACTGATTCCTATTCCTTACGAATACATGATTTTCTGAAATGAAAGCTTTGAAGAGGCTCACCTGTAAACTGTTGTGGCGAGCACGGAGCATTTGGAGCCAATCAGGTTCCTGCCCCGCCCTGCTGACCCCTGTGTCGTTGAAGTGTCCCTCAGAGTGCCTCAGCCTGTCGGACAGCTGTAGGACAGAGGACACATACTGATAGTACATCTGTTTAGAATTGAATGGGGTTGTTTATAAGAGTATGTGTGAATACCTTAATAACTTCCCCAGTCAGCACAGAGTAAGACCCCCGCTGCCTGAGCAAGGCCCGGCCCACCACCTCACAGTAATGGAAGGCCTGAGAGGAGAGCCCGCAGTCCAGCAGGCGGGCCGCATACAGGAACTTATACACCTATCAAACACAATGATAAGAGAGAATATACTATTTATAGGTACTTTCTATAGAAAGCAGTGAGAAGTGCACTGAACAAACTGAAACAGGGACCCCTTTATTAAATGTATTATGTCAACAAATGTCACATAACTGTATTAGGTTAGCTGAAAGCAATAAAATAATTATTTATTTAAAGGAGACCGATCATGCTATTTTTGAATAATATATTGTAGGGCCATACCTATATAAGGTATATTTATGTTTTTTTTTTTCAAAATACCAAACAGATCATGCATTTTAGCCATGCCTCATTTTGCTCTATTTTGCTTTCCTCCACCCTGTCTTTGCATGCGCTGCAGCTGACCATGCATTTTGCATGATAGGTCCTCTTTAAACGTAATATTATTGCTTTCAACTAATCTTATACAATTACTGCATGTTTTATCTGTTGACAAAATACAATAACGTTTCATTTTTCTCAGTGTGTTGTGAGTATGAGCTACCTGAAAGGATGGTATTGAGAGGCCTTTGCCCCCCAGGGTCTGGCAGTACTCGTACAGTTCAGTGCACTGGATGGCCAGGTCGGTGGCAAAGTGTTCAAAGGACTGCCTGAAGGTGAGCAGAGGAGACAGGACACAAATATAAGTAAGATCATATCCGGAGACACTAACAGTAAGCCATTAAACATTTCCTATAAAATGTCATAGTAAAGTAAGCCTTAAGAATGTCATAACATAGTGAGCCATAAACATATATCCCAAAACATGTCATTGTATAGTATTCCATAAAAAATGCCGTAGCATATTATTCAGCAGAAAAATATATCATCAAAAACATTACAGAATAGTATCTTATATTTTAAATAAAGGATGTCATCGTATATGATTCCATTGACAACATTTCAGTTTATTATGCAAAGAAAACATCATAAAAAGTGATATATTTGCCATATTCATAAAAATGTCATAAAACAGTGATCAGTTGAAAAGATCAACCTATATTATGCAATAAAAAGCTGTATAATATGTCATTGTATATTATGCAATGTAACATTCTAAGAAAATCGTAGAATAGGATGTTACAATAAGTCATAATATAGTTATCCATAAAACAATCATAGTATTGTATGCAATTAAATATATCATTAAACATAAATTAAAAAGAATGATGTGTATTAAAATTAATATTATTATTAAAAAGTAATACTAAAGAAAGTCTAATAAAAATGGCATTAGGCATTAACATTTGTATCGTCTTCTTTGTCATCAAAATATAATAAAAAATGATATAGTTTAGTATGTCACACTAAAAGTCATAATGTAGTATCCACAAAGACTCTAACACTAAATTAAGAAGATTATATGACATCTACCTGTCTTGCTTCGTTGGTATTGCCTTCATTTTATAGAAATTGCAATATGACTACATGGCTGACTGATGAATAGCATGAAGGCCTTCTCACCTGTGGCTGCTGCCTAGCAACACCAGCCTCTCTGCCTTCTGAGGGAAGGCCCCGAAGGAGACCCCGGCAGTCAGGTAGCACACATGAGCCGCATGTGTCAGGCCGTTGGAGGCTGCAGGGGGAGTGAAACACAGAACAGCCAGCTCATATACCTGAGCAGAAACATTTATATCAGTCAGCGTATCTGTACGTACTGAGGGTGTCTCCCATAGTGACGATGGCCTTCTGCTGGACAGCAGGATCTCCCGTCTCATTGGACAGCAGGACAGCCAGGTGGGGCCTCCAGTCCCCCCATTTCTCATTTCCACAGCACTGCACGCAGAGCATCAGTATCACCACTCTTATTGGCTGATAATATCTATCGTATTGGCTTACATTCTAAGAAATTCAAGAACCTGATGAAATACCAGCTGCAGATAGTGAAAGCGCACAGGTAAATAACCTTTATTTAATATCTGAGAAATTAAGTGATACACTGACTAAGCAGTAAATAACAAGAAATACCAATGCATTTAAGATCGGTGCCTTTATAAGTTTAAGGAAAGGGCTAATGTTGGTTATATCTCGAAAGTAAAACACATTGATCTCAGAAGTTTTTGTCTCTTTCTCAAAGTTAACCAAATGTTTAATCAATTTATAAATGTATCTTGCCAAGAAGACACAATAGTTACAGACCGACGTTTCTAAGTCATATAATAACAGAAGTGAACGCTGGGATGGGGGTAGAGTTCATGCTGTGTGTGTTACCAGGGTAGCGGCCGGGACCCTCCCAGTCAGCAGGTGGAAGAGGGTCTGCAGGGGGTCGCTGGCCGTCAGCTGGCCTGTGAACCTGCCGGAAGAGCAGAGATACTTTATTTCACCTTTAATTATACAGGAAAAAAAACATTGAAATGTAACATTTCAAACTTTTCAAAAGTGTTGTTTCCAAGAGCAGCAGCAGCAGCAGCAGCAATGACAGCATTTCATATTTAATGACTAAAATATAGCACTTAACAGAAAAAAATGACCGAATTATAACACACTTTTCAACATTAGTCAGATGTACACTATTTTTGTTACACTATTAAAGTTATCACCTGCTGTACTTTATATGTTTGTTCACTTACTTTTTAGAATGCTGCTACTTATTTCTGTTCCATGGATGTATTCTTATTTGATTTTCTTTATTAACGTGTGCTTGCCTCTCTATTGAATTATTTCTTTTTTGCCTTGTAACTGTCCCTTTGCTGTAATATTGTTAATTTCCCCGGCGTGGGACGAATTAAGGACTTCTGATTCTGATGTGCCTGCTTCTTATTAGATTAGAATCACTTTAATTGCATCCACCTCCTAAAGATTAAACTGATTCTAGGCTGTGTGAGCTGCGTACTCAAATGCCTTTTCCCCGTGCAGATGTTGTTTTAGTAGGAATGAGTCCTGGGAGGGAGGACAATAACCTCCTGTCCTTTTTGGTAAGGTGGGGTTCCCTAGGTAAGAAAGAATCACTCCAAGAACAGCCTTATACAGTAAATAAGAATATAAACACTGGTCAGAAGACAGACCATCCAACATGTTCATACAGAGACACATGCTCAGTAACGGCTGAGATTTGTGATAAATCTCAATTGGCCCCATAAACAGTGTCCATTGTGTGTAGGTATTTTGAGGATGCATGCATGTCAATAACAGCTACAGTCCAGCACATTCACAAAGTTTTCTTTTGGCCTCAGAGAAGAAAGGAAAAAAACATTTTAACTTCAGTTTCTTCACCCTTCCATACTTAAACAATAGCCATCACAGATAAAGAGCATATATAAAGGGATACACCATGCTGATTATTATTAAACCACCCTGCCCCCCCAACATTACTCTCATGATATGTGCTGCTGAGAGAGAAAGGGCTGCTGCCAAAATAGTCTGTAAAATGGATTGTGTTACATGAGAGAGAGTTTATAGGGACAGAAGTGAACAGACAGTCAGCCCCCCCCAGGAGTTCCAATGATCTTATTGGCCGTCAAGCAAGAGGATTTACAGTCTGCAGGAAGGTGTTTATGGGTGTTATGTACTGCCCTACCCCTCTGTAAAGTATAAATAACAGGCAGAGATGAACTCTGAAAAACAAGGCAGACATAAATATTGTGATCCCACATAAATAATACATTATTATTGCTTCATTGGTAGAGTTTCTATTAAAGGGGCCTCTACTGGGACATGTCTCCATGCTATAATGTTCAAAAAGCTCTTTATTTTTCTAATAAAGCCTGTGCTGCAGAACCTCTTTTCACCCTCTGTCTGAAACCAGAGCCCAGTCTGCTCTGATTGGTTAGCTGGCCGGCTCTTTTGTGATTGGTCAACCACTAATAGATGTCCCGCCCCTTAGCCTATCAAGTGCAATGTGTTGGAGCGCTAGCCAATAGAAGCACAATTATTACATACATAGTGATGTCACTATGTTCTGGAAGTAAACAAAGGAGTCCTAATGGAGGCGAGCTCCCATAAAAAATANTGTATATCAGTATGTAGTGTCTCTACTTTAAAGAGTCCTCTCCTGCTGATGTTCAGGTGTATATCAGTATGTAGTGTCTCTACTTTAAAGAGTCCTCTCCTGCTGATGTTCAGGTGTATATCAGTATGTAGTGTCTCTACTTTAAAGAGTCCTCTCCTGCTGATGTTCAGGTGTATATCAGTATGTAGTGTCTCTACTTTAAAGAGTCCTCTCCTGCTGATGTTCAGGTGTATATCAGTGTGTATTGTCTCCATGCTTCAATGTTCAAAAAGCTCTTTATTGTTCTCATACTGCCTGTGCTGCAGCACCTCTTTTCACCCTGCCAAGGCACACNTCTCCTGCTGATGTTCAGGTGTATATCAGTATGTAGTGTCTCTACTTTAAAGAGTCCTCTCCTGCTGATGTTCAGGTGTATATCAGTGTGTATTGTCTCCATGCTTCAATGTTCAAAAAGCTCTTTATTGTTCTCATACTGCCTGTGCTGCAGCACCTCTTTTCACCCTCTGTCTTAAACCAGAGCCCAGTCTGCTCTGATTGGTTAGCTGGCAGGCTCTTTTGTGATTGGTCAACCACTTAGAGATGTCCCGCCCCTTAGCCTATCACTTACAATGTGTTGGAGCGCTAGCCAATCGAAGTGTGATGTTATGTTGTGATGTCACTATGTTCCAGGAGTAAACAAAGAAGTCCAACGGAGGCGTTTCAGGGATTTTTGCCTTAGCAGACCATTAACATGCACCAAGACCTCTATGACGCACTACAGGAAAGGGAGAACCCCAAAAAGCAGAACAGGGCCTCTTAAAGAAGTCAAGGTAAAACAAATGAATCAATATACAGTGTTTATTTGGCCTAGTTGACCAATTTAATCAAAAGTTTTATCCCCTTTTATTTCCCAGTAACTACACTCCCTTATTTTTATGTTCCAGGAGACATGAATCTTTGGTCTTGTCGCTACTTGTTATTTAATTGCAGTATCTGTTCGAGCGCGCACTAAAAATAGCTGGTAATATCTCTTAAAACCACAAGTGCGTCAGCCAGCTGGGAGCCAACATGAGCTGCTATTGCACATTTCAAATGTATTGTCGTCGCTTCTGTCTCACAGTATCATCATACTTTTGAGGTTACGTGAATATCTGTTGCTGTGAGTTTTGACAAAACCATGGCATCCAAAAGAAGCTAGATAGAAAGATTGCTAAATGGTGATGACTCAGCGGTATTGACTTAAATAAATGACAAAAAATACGCAGTCTGCGAGTCCACACATGATATATTAATTCATATATAAGTATGTCACGTGTACCAGATAGCTAATTTCCACTTACTTGAAAAGCTAGGCTAACTATCTTCCACTTTCTGAGAGATAGAAGACAAATGTGTGGATCACAGACTTCAGGGATCATCCAAAAATGTTATAGAGACGGATATATTTAAATGATTCATAAAGCAATGTTGGCACAAACAGCAAGTTTCCTGCATTGCCAGCCGTCAGATGCAACACCAGAGGCTTCATTATCAGACACTGTGTCCAAAATATGTACCACGAAATGTTCAAAAGGCGACTATTTGTGTGTCTTTATGAACGATGTAGGTAGTAGTTATGTAGGAAGGAACTTGATTGTCTTTGTGCAGTAACTGCTCTGAGATTATGTATAAAAGCATTTTTTTTACTGTGAAAATCTCTCCACACACACAGAGTTCACCCGCTCCCCCCCGCTCCCCCCTGCTCCTTTTATTGTGACTTATATAAGCTGTGTTACTGTTTCTGTTTGACCTCTCACTGTGGTGACAGTTAGTGCTGTGAGAACGCTGCTCAGTCCTGTCCAATCAGGCTCAACAGATGTGTGTGTGTGTATGTCTGCGCCTGTGTGTGTGTCTGCGCCTGTGTCTGTGTATGTGCCTGTGTGTGTGTCTGCGCCTGTGTGTGTATGTGCATGTGTGTGTGTCTGCGCCTGTGTGTGTGTCTGCGCCTGTGTGTGTGTCTGCGCCTGTGTGTGTGTCTGCGCCTGTGTGTCCATAAGTTGGGAGACCATCTGAAATATTCAGTTTAAACAGAGCCATAGCTCTGGCAAACAGAAAGTTAGGCGGTGCGAGTGCTTCCTATGGGAAATAATATTTGAGTAAAACATAGGAACCTCATCAAGGGGAAGCAGAGAACTTTGTAAATGCTCCAAGCTTTTTAAAGTCAAATAAGAGAAAGTTTCACAGTTGAAAATGGCCCCACATCCTTCTGGGTGCTTGCATATGTTATATATGCTGTGAATGCTTCGTGTGAATGAGTAGGAAGTGTACACAAGCTGCTAAGGTTCTCAAGTAAAGTGGTTTAGAGCCTATGTAAATACTGCTATATTTTATGTTCTTATAGTTTTCTTAAAATAGTTTTCTATCTGTGTTTTAATTCTTGCTTGACTTTTATGTATGCACCATGACATCAAGTCAAATTCCTCGTATATATCGACCCACCTGGTGATAAACCTGATTCTGATTCTTACATTTATTTATTTGTTTATTCCACACATGGCAGTTATTTTAAAGGTCCCATGTCATGTTCCAAACTCTCATTGGTTTCTCATACAGCATTTCTGTATAGCATGTGTATTCACTCTCTGTCCTAAACGGCTTGTTGGAGCTCCTGCCCCCCCCACCCCCCCTCCCTGTGAGCCCAGTGGCCGTCTGCGAGACAGCGAAACCCAGCCCGAAACACACACACACACCCGCAGCCTGGCTGGGAGTTTGTGTGTGTGCTCAGGCTGAGTTCCGCGGTGTCTCCCTGTCTCTCCGACCCCACACCAGTGAGCCAGCTCACAGTGTCCCGCTCCTCGCAGCAGCGAGCCTCGCAACGTCCCGCCGAGTGTGTGTGTGTGTGTGTGTGTGTGTGAGGAAGTCCACGGATTGGTCCAAACGTAACGGCTCCGCGGACGTTACGTCACTATACCCGAAATACGTCACTATACCCAAGAAGTAAACAATGGAAAAAGATAAATCTCCAACGAGACGCCTCGTTGGAGATTTATCTTTTTCCATTGTTTACTTCTTGGGTATAGTGACGTATTTCGGGTATAGTGACGTAACGTCCGCGGAGCCGTTACGTTTGGACCNACGTGTTCGTCAATAGAAAGAAAGTACATTCCATCAACACGCAGATTGTTTTCATTCATCATGATAGGGGGACTTGAACGGCGGTATGGGCTGTTATTGAAAGTGTTTAAGTGCTGGAAATGTGCTCATTGGATAATAGTTTGCGGGGTGCTTTTAATTGCCTCCTTGATTTAATGCAATTTACGTATTTTTATTGTTTGCTCTCTCTCTTTAACGTGCATATACAACGTCATTATCGTGGTCTGCACAAACTTGCCATCATGCGTGTATTCTGCTAACTGCACTGTCCATAACTATTTGATAGGAATACATTTCTAGCCTAGGCTATTTCCTTGTTTTTCTATGATTTAGTGGGCTCGTTTGTGGGATGTTGCGGATGAGTTTCACCGAGACCGCCTGCTCTGAACAACCAATCACCGTACTGACCGCTTCTAAACTCATGCACGAGAATCGACGTAATCCATAGCAACGGCGCGTCACTCTTAGTTCACTCTTAGTGATTTATCCTTAGTATGAGTAGGTCTCAGCGGCTTTGTGAATAACTTTTAAGAAAAAACTCCTACGTAAAATGTTTTAGCGCGAGTTAGGAGCACTCCTAGCGGTAAGATAAAATGCTTTGTGAATACGGCCAGATCTTGTTCTGGGTCTCTGGGTAGAATATCCTTCAACCAAGGTACACACGGCGGCGGGGGTGTGTGTGTCTACAGAAGGTCCAGTTGTGATAGACACGGTTCGCCACTGATATATATATATATAACAAAGATTTTTTAAATTGCTTGAGCAATGATTTCATATTATGATAAAATAAAGAGTTCATTTTTAAAACAAGAAAAGCTTATTTAAAATGTGAGTTTTTTGTAGTTTATAGTGTTGCATAAATGTAAAATATCTTGTTATCATCGGAAAATGATCATGTTATAACAATACACTTTTAGTCTTTTAACTTGATACTGATTCATACAATATTTCTATAAACTGTTGTCATCCTGACACATGCTCTGTGTCCCACATCTCCTCAGACCATGTTCCGGGGCCCCAGGTTTTGGCTCCTCTGAAGTTCTCCCTCCCTCATGTGGTGGTCAGCTTTGGGCCGGCGGGTCAGCTGATCCGGGTCACTCCGGGCCTCTCCACCCAGGAGAATGTCAGCCAGCTGGAGATCCACAGTCTGGAGGTACGCTAAGCCTGTGCTGATAACATCGTCTTCTTAACATTGTATTGTAGACTGAAAGAGATTATTTGTGTGTGCATGTCTGCATAGGTCATTCTGGGTGAGACCGAGGAACAGCAGGACATGAGGAACTTCCCAGGGCCTTTATCCAGGTGTTGCAATTTATTTTAGAACAAAATACAACAACAGCAGTACAGTTTTTTTATTTCACTGCCCATTTTCAACAGATACAAATGAGTAAATAAAGCATACAATTCACCTTAAAAGAGAAAATTGAACCATTTTATTCTTTTTTTTATTTTGGTGTGCAAATCTGAATCTAACGATTCTCACCATTAAATGTAACAGACCCCTTCAGAATACATTGAATGTCAAACCTGAAAGCGTTATTAGTCCTGTGAGATTATGTTTAAATTCAAAATACGATGTTGTATGTACTTGCTTTATTCATGTTTTTGAAGGGAAGACCTGCACAAAGTGGATGCGATGGAGTTTGCCCAGCAGAGGGCGGCTGCCTGTCTGAGTGGGGGGGGGCTGCAGGACCGGAGCTCTGCTGCCCTACTGTGGAACCTGCTCATCCTGCTCTGCAGACAGAATGGAGTAGGTTGACCATGCCTTGTTGTACTGTAGACATATTACACACAGAATCATGTTTATTCTGATGCAATCATCAATTAATGTGTATTGTTTCAGCAAATAGTTGGCTCAGACATTGCCGAGCTGCTGGTGCAGGGCTCAAATTCAGACGGAAGCTGCAAGACTGACACCCCCACCCTCATCGACTTCAGTGAGGGCGCGGGTCCAGCTGAAGCCCCCTCCCTCTTCGGAGACGACCTGCTCACCGGAGGCAGCAGCTCTGAGGGCTGTCGGGGGGCTCTGCAGGGCTACACCCAGCTGCTGCTGGCCGGGAGGAAGAAGGTGTTCTTATAGCTCTCCATTGATCCCAGGGTTATCCTGCATTGTGTTACTTTACTATAGTTAAAGTACCAATGTCACAATGTAAAAATATTCCATTCAAATAAAGGTCCTGCATTTCAAATCCTATTTGTAAATGTACTTAAAGTATTAAAAGTAAAAGTACTTATTCAGCAAAAAATGTAATTCAAATTGCAGCTGTTTAAGCAGCATGCTAATGTTGTACCCTGTCAGGGTAGAACATATTAGTTTAACATATTTCATATACACTTAGGAAGCAGGGCTGAGTGATTTGGCAAAAAAACATTTGCAATTATTCGTAACTGATATTGTATTTCTGATATGAGTATATAATATTCTCACTTTCGTTGAAACATTTAATAAAATACACAGCTTAACCTGTTAAGCCCCAAGCCTGTTTTTCAGGCCTCAGGCTCGAAAATAACATGCCCAGAACAAATGACTATATCTTCCCTTCTAAAAGGGGTAAATTAATAATCTTTTTTCTCAAAGCAATGATAAACCTGTGAGTTGGATGTAGAAAAGTCAGAATCAATATAGAATTGTTTCATTTTTAAGTAAATTCAGATTGAACATAAGTAAAACATTTTAAATGATAGTGTCCGTCCAAAAAAAAAACATTACTTAGTGAAAACCACCCTTGAATGATGGGATAGTAGACTAAAAGCTTTAGCAATCCAAACTATAACATATAATAAGTACCCTGTATCTAGATTGATGCAAAACAAGTGACATTTGATTTGACCTTTTTAGAGACCCATTTAATTTGGGTATATTTGCCGTGTCTCTGGAACCCATTGGTAGATTTTGGTGATTGACACCTCTTTTGAACCGTTTGGGCCAATATAATCGAAGGGGAGGTTCCACATACACTTTACCATTGAGGAGTGAGAGTTACGTGCATCAAGACGAAAGCTATGTTATGCTCTGAAAACTGAAAACTGGAACCTAGGCTCAAACTGGTAAATATGAAGATGGATTATCAGTAATCATTTCAAAGTGACACAGACACATTGGATTAACCATTGGATTAACCTTTAGCAGCGTTTTTATCATTTTAATACCATCGAAGACAACTTTTGATCAGAACAACAGCTAATCTCTCCTTGTTTCCTCCCTGACACTACGTGTTGTGATGTCTGTTTTTACGCTTCCCCCAGTCGCGAGTTCAGATCGCGATATTAGTATCAGTGATGATACTAATATTTCTGGAATCTGTGGAATCTCAGCTTGCTAATCGATATGTTGTTTGTGTAGATACGATAAGTAATAAGGCTATTTAATCCGTTAGTTTGGTGCTACAGTAAGTGCGATAGCATTTTTTCGCTCAGGGCTAATTTAGATGCTTCTTGTGAGACATGTGTTTTGTTTCGGTAAAAATGGTTCGTATCATCAGTTAGCTGAGTTTCTTCCCGTTAAGTGAGTATGGAAAACCTCGCGATCGGTTATCTTCGTGTTATAAATGTATGTATACTACAGGTGATACAAACCTTCATTTTTGTTTCCTCAGGTTACCTCCCGCGTCCGAGGGTATTTTTTATAAAAAAATCTACAACTTCAAGGTTTTCCACTTAAAACCCTTGAAAACCCCAATAACGATAGCAGGTTTTACGATCGTAACGATGTTCACATTACAAAATGGGTAAAGTCTTAGAACCAGTATTTGGTTCTAAGAAAATAAAAATGTTTACCACTCTGCGATAACGTTTCAAGTCCCCTAGTGGGTTGGTAAGCAATGTCCCATTACTAACCTTCTGTTCTGGTAATGGTATAAATAATATTGTTTTATAACACACTAAGGTTAACTTTCCAAAAAAATAAATTAGATACGTTGTTACTTGGTTTTAACTGGTGTCCGTAATAATGTCATAAGACAAAAGGCCGATCTTCACTAAATACAGTCGAAAAACGATTGTGTCCGTCGGTCCCCTTTCGATCCTATTTGTTCCTGTCTTTAATCACATCGAAAACACTTGACTCACATTTCGTCTAGATTACATCACTTCCCTCCGTAAAGAAGTGATTAACTGGCGAGCACACCTCCCTCCACCTGTCATAGGAGCAAATCGCCAGTACAGAGTCTACCTGAGAGGAGTGGACAAAGTCGGTGGACCACATTCCTGGACGACAGGTAAAACCCGACGGTCTTTGTCTCACGCACAGGGGTGTCGGCCACGGGTATCGACTAAGGTTCCCGGAGGACCTTTTGTGTAACCCCTGTTTATTAATTTATGAATTTGGAATTTTGTCCCAAGAATTTAAATACT